GAAAACAAACGTTCTTAAGTAAAACAAGTTTTTGAAAAAATCAATTTTATTATTTTGTTGTAATTTAAAAATTAATAAAATTTAATATTTACCAATTATTTATACATATAATTATTATGCATTAGACATGATACAATTTTCAAAATATGTTAGCATGCTATCTAAACATATTTAATTGCTTTTATTTTTAAGTATGATTAATGATTATAAAGATRACAATTTTTAGAAAAACATGAGTCCTTTGTTTGTTCTTACAGCAATTAAAAATTAGCAAAAATACTTTAAGGAAATATTTAKTTGCATAAATGTGTTCACATTTTTACAAAATTCATAAACATCTGTGGGATAATTTATTAAGTACTTGATGACTGATGTAACAGATTAATAGAGGATAAAATACTCACTAGATACATATAAATATAGGCTGTATTAATTTATAATTTATTTTCAAACACAATAGATATTTTGAGACTAGTGGAACAACCCTGAACCCACCCACTAAAAATTCAGCATCTTCTACCCAAAAACCCATTAGTGTGCGCCACTGGCGTTAAACATTTTGATAATGCAAATTATTCAATTATAATTTACTAAAATGTACTTTAACACGAAATAATATTTTGATAATAAAATATAAAATTATTAACAAATGAAAAATCTTACCCGCCTSCTTTCATCAGAAAGTTTAACTCTTTTAGCAGGAACATCAATATTCATTTTTAATGGAGAAGATTCTGTAACAGCTGTTTCTAGAGATCTCTAGAATAAAAATAACGTATTGTTATTGCACAAGTTTTTTAATTGTGGGTCACATAATATACTATAATGTAAAGCATAATATTAGAACTTTGTTAACTTATGTAACTAAAATTGTTAGCACAGTTAGTGCTGGATACCGTAGAGGAAACCACACGTCATCCACGCACTGTTTTTAATAACTACCGATAACAGTATATCGCAGAAATTACGCCGTACACCATCAAACTGGTAATGTATGTATATCAATAATATCTTAGGTATAAAGTCCACTAGATGATCACCACATCGTWAACCAAACCGTGCCTACAGGCGAAAGCCCATTAAACACATCTAATAACCAAGCACACACTAATAAAATGAGACCAGAAAAAAAATCAACTTCTAAAATAGAACGCAAAACTATTAGGAAAAATAATGTAATACACACAGACACTGAAAATTCTGGTCCAGCAACTCTGAACTCCGACAGTAAACTYAGATAACCGAGAAATACGACAAAAACCTTCGTCTTGCCAGCCAAAAGTACCATCAACCCAACACCAAATCGCTACGCGATATTATCCGATACCATCGTAATTAACGATCAAGAATTGACTACTGCAACGACGATGAATGCACTTCACAAATAAAAAATAAAAACAATTACAATATTCAATCACAAACAAATAATAGCACTCCTAAAATACCACCGTTATTCATAACCAATACCTACATCAAAATTCTCACAGTTTCGACTTAAAATTTTGGAAGTCATTATTAATGATTTTACTRCCACATCAAAGAACGATAAAATAAAAGTAAATGTAAAAACCGTCAACGACTTCCGCTCACTCAAGGCTATTCAAAAATAAACACACTATATACCCTAGTTAACTTAAAATCAACCCTCCAAATTAAATCTCCATTTTACTATGCACCTCAATAATCCAACCATTGATAACTTATGCCCAATCTAGGCAGCAGCTTCCTCATCAAAAATAGACAAAATCCAAATCCTTCAAAACAAATTTTTAATGATACATCTCAAAGCATCATGGTTCATGAGGAAKAGACAAATCCACAATTACACAGGAATCCCCCTTCTCCAAGACTGGATAAAAATACAATTCCAAAACTTTCACGCAAAACTCAAAACATCCAATGGCGCACGGTTTTACAATTTAGGAATGAAAACGAAAAATCGGCGTTTAAAACCACGTTTTCATCAAACCAATGCGAAGACGAAGATAAACTATAATTTACCACCACAAATACTAATTTTAAATGTATATACCTATCACAATATTTTAAACTAATTATAATCAGTAATAGAATATCTTGTAATCTTAATTTGTAAACTGACTTATATAGCATGTTATATGTTGAGACATTTTAATCTTAATAAATAAAAAAAAAATTGTTAGCAACATCAATATTATAATATATCCTTAGGGTTCATAGACAAACAGAAAAAATTAAAAGGATACATGCAATAAGCTGTTTGATTATAATAAATATATATAAGTTTTTATTTATATATATACGATTGTATTAACTTTAAATCATTAACATACATCTATAATGCATATTGTATACTGTATTAAATTGAAGTTTCTCTAACCGACAGTGAAAATTTCAAATATATGCTATATTACATTAATTAATTTAAAAAATTGTTTAATTTATAATTTTCTGTACCTTAATTTTTTTTCTTTTATCGGGTGATGACTGGGAGTCGTTGTCAGAACTAGTATTCTTTTCTGAGCTTAGGTTTGAAAAAATATTTAAATTGTTAGTCTCTTTGGATGCTTCGTATAAATTCTAAAATATTAATTATATACAATTTAAAAAAGTTAATATATTCAAACAATACAATCACCTATATTTATATAAAGTATCGACTTACTTGCAATTCAGTTAATGATGTAGCAGTTTTCCAATCTTTGTCATTTCTAATTTTAGTTACTCTAGGAAATCTAATTGATATACCATTAGCAGTGTGCACTTCAGCTTGAGAGAATTCTGCTCCTGAAATTTCCCAAACTGGCATTTTC